AAACAACGTAGTACCAACAATACTATATTCTTCTATGGTCAACTATGAAATACTACAGAACATTGGATGATCGCGTTAAATGACAGTCCACCAAAACAAACTGTATTGTATGGTTCTAATGTGTGGCATCGATGCAGTGCAGTGATGATTATAATTTTAATAATAACTAAACAGTGCAATTAGATTATCTGTAAAAACAATAAACATGTATCATATTTTCACAAACAACAAATCATTTACAAACGGATAATGCATAAAAAACTTGAGGCAGATTCAATCGTGCAATGTGATGAAAAATATTATTGAATTTATTTTTAATAGAACTAACAAAAAACAAGATAGCACATGAAAGTGAAAGAGCGCGTAAATACGTCAAAAAAAGTTACAATACGAACAATGATACAGATCTCACGACCCATAACACCATAAAATTAATTCGGATACATTTTTAGAGTTCTGTTCGTTCAGTGATTCGAAAGTATTTATAAGGTTGACTAACAAATTGGGCATAATTGTGTACAAATTGTATTGAATGTCAAAATATGAGTACTCATATAAAATTGTAACATACTACAGTTTTCTTTGCGATATTATAGATCACTAAATAAGCTTTAGATATGTGCACTTAGTGATAAAGTGCACCAGCACTGGCTGGAGTGCGTTTTTCTATATTATGGTATTGTTGCAATGCTGTCAATATAGTGATCCAAAAATTACAATACAGTGCAATCAGATTCTATGTAAAAATCGTAAACCTATATGACATTTCCTGGAAATCATATTTTTTGTGCACAAATGTACTGTACAGCAAACTCAAATATGGAATTGCTCAAACATGAATCCTTATAAGTAACATTAAACATAAAATACTCTAAAAACAAATATATCCCTGAAATAACAAACATTCATCACAAAAAAAAAAAACAAAAAAAAACAATACTGAAACAACACAGTACTTCCCCAAGCATAAATCCATGAAAGAAACATAAAAAAAAACTAAGTCTTTAGGTCAATGCAAACTTGAAACATCTAGAACAAAACCCAAAATCAAAACTACTGAATAGCCCGTGTGCACGTCTTTTTGTTGTGGGATCCAACCTGGTTGCAGTGACTACACCTCATCCTCCCCGCTACGTTCTCACCCCTAGAAGCAATTCTTTTCGTCTTTGGTCTACCACGTTTCGGCTGGAACTCAGGTGGACCAATGACAGCCAACGGCGGATCCGTAATAGGCCTAGCAAATGGAAAAATAACTTTAGCATAACTTTGTATGTACGACGAAACATGAAAGTAATTGTCCACATAATTGTATCCTTCCGTATTCGATTTGTTTAAGACGCAAGTAGCATGAGCACATGGGAAGCCGGAAATTTGCCACATTAGCATGAGCATGATCTGTTCCATAAGTCAACCATGGCAACAGGTTCACTCAATACCTCGTACACCGAATCAGGTGCTTTTCTTGGCAACCATGTCCTACCTTCCTGCACCAATGCACCATAACGTTCTTCATGCACCAATGCACCAAATAAATAGGTTAATACAATAATTTACTAAATTCTTTTTTCCACTGTATAATTTAATTTTCATATCTATGAGTGGATGTTGTGAAGACAAAAAAACGACAAAAAAAAAATTTGAACAGACATCCAACCAACAAAAACGCGAAGAAACAATGATATCGATGACGAAGACAATACCTTCTTGATGAAGGAGAACAACGAACACTCGAATGACTACGCTCAAGTTTAGCAGATTACAACTGTGTATTGATGTGTATGAAATCTTCTTCACATACGTGCAATATATATTAATGAGATTACATAAAGATACAGTTACTATCACGATAGAACGTGATTGATACGTAATCCCTATCTTCAAGGGACGTGATTTATTAAATAAACATAACGTTTAATAACGCCACATAAACGTCCGGTTAAAATAAAGGGTATTATTGAGATATTTAAAAAAAGAACCTTATATCTTATATTTTTAGAATCTAGGGATTTAGTTACGAAGAAAATATTGGGCCTGTATCCCTCATCTGATACAGTTTCGTATGAGGGACCTCCAGCATATTAACCCAATAAATTATTGTATTTTCAAATTATTGAAACTCCTTGAAGCTAGATGAGATAATAAATATTTAATAAAAGAACTCAGTACCTAATGAATCATAATTGATCTATTACATGAAATACAAACATAAGTATAAAAAATCAACAAATATATAAATTAACTATATGTCAAATAATATAGTTGAGACAAATGCAAGAATAAGTATAAATCGTCTAACAAATATTTAAAGTATGTCAAATAATATAGTTTATTCGAAATTTTTGAAATATTAATCAATTTTAAATATCAATTAATATACAACTAATCTATAAATACTACAAGAAAATACATGGGGCCCCTATTTTTTTTTTGGTCGGGTTCTTAGGCGACCGCCTCTCTCGCCTATAGTCAGAAGCGGCCCTGCCAAGACAACGATACACAGTACCATGATCATGGTATTACTTTACTGTACCGAAATATTATTAATAAATAAACTTAAATAGAATTTTGTTTTAATAATTAATTTTAATTTGTATAAAGAGTGAAGATAGTATGTAAAGTAACTATTATTATTTAATTTGTCGTAGTTTTTAGGTATGTCAATAATATTTTGAATGTTTTCTTTAATAATGATATAATTTATGTTAAGAGTTTTTATGTTGTATAGAAATTTTTTATATTATGCAGGGCCAGTCATAGGAATTTTGGGGCCCAAAGCAAATTTTGAAAAAATGTCTTCTTTTTTATTTAAAATTATTTAGCTTCATTCAGCTTATTTTACCGCTTATCATGATAATTTACAAGTGAAAAAATTTTCATTCTTCTTTCCTTTAAGTTGCGCTATGCCACAAAGCTCATCTAAAAAATAAAAGAAAAAACAATGGTTTTTCTCTCTTTTTTTATCGAAAATAAAAGTTTTTTAATTAGTCTGATTCTGTCTCCTTTTAATTTCATGTGTTAAGCATTTAAGAGGATTTTTTTTTTTGGATGAATTATAATTTTCATATTGAAAAGAACTCTATGTATATATATCTATGCATATATATGTAACTTTTTTTTCATTTTGTCTTCTATATATTTATATACTATTGTTTTTTTAAATTTGGGAGCCCTTAGGATTTGAGGACCCAAAGCAGTGGCTTGTGCTGCAAATAGCCAGACCGGCCTTAATATTATGATACAAATCATGTCAATATGTGACGAAATTCGATATCAATACTGTGAATATCAAATCCAAGACTATCTAAAAGTACGAACCAAAGGAGCTCCCCAACAAGTTGCTTCTAAAAGAGTGTTACGACAGGATAATGACCCAATAAACCCAATATACTTGAGTGGACCCATCTGATATTAATTAGTTTTGCATGTGTCGAGGTTGTCTTGCAGTCTTATATCATTACTAGTAACCGAACCCGTGCGTTGCACGGGGTTATATATTTTAATGAAATGACACAACAACAACACAATTATTAAATCGGAGCAATAAACTACAAATTGCCACAACACAGTTATTAAATCGAAGCAATAAACTACAAATTGCCACAAATATAATAAACATTTGCTGCTTTACACTTAAAAAAATTCATATAAAAAAACCCTTAAAAATCGCACTTTAACCATTCAGAAGATGCGTGCACTTCACCGATACCCAAGGCATTACTGCACATTAACAATTTCCAATAGCATCATATATGAGTTCAAATAACACAAAAAAATATTGAAAGAAAAAATGCGAAACAAATATATGTATTGTAATCACCTTGATGTTGTGTGACAGCTCATTCTTTGTGGCAATGCATTCATTTTAATGATATTGCATCTTCATACTCTGCGAAATAATAAAAACACATTATGCACAGTAGAATGTAAGGCTTACATAAGAACTAATGTGAAAAACTGTAAATAAAAAATACCTTAAATTTTGAAATACTTCTTTATAAACAACGTTTGTTGTATTTTTTGAAGTATTTCCTTCTTTGTCAACTATAAGTATCTTCAAACCCTTTCGACTGGTAACCCTCGAAATAGCTACATATAGTTGTCCGTGAGAGAAAACAGACTTTTCAAGATATAGACCAACATTTTGGAGGGATTGACCTTGGCTTTTATTTATTGTCATAGCGAAGGAAAGAACAATGGGAAATTGTCTCCTCTGAAAGTGAAACGGAATCCTACTGTCTGACGGCGTTAACGACAATCTTGGAATGAAGACCTTCTGTCCAACATTAGAGCCTGATATTATTTTTGCTTCTAAAACGCGATTTCCCAACCTAGTAATGGTCAATCTTGTACCATTACACAACCCATTGGACTGGTCTATATTCCTCAATAACATAACAGGAACACCTATTTTCAGCTTTAATTCATGGTTTGGCAGACCTGAAGATGTAATAGTATTCAAAAACTCTGGAGTATGAATGTCATGATGTGAGTCGACACTTTCATTCGCCGTACATGGACTATCGAAACTAAGATAAACCTTTTCCTCTTCCGGAACCAAAGACAGCATGTAATCGTTCACCTTCTCAACAATTTCATTAGTAGGTGCCAATATTGCTCGTTGTTGTAAGTATTCAGAATCCATGATATTAGCGAGCAAATTTGGGTAAGTTTCTTCAGCAATAGACGCTAAATGGTTACCTGACGATTGTATGAGCAAATCATCAGGTATCTCAATGTCCATAACTCCATCATTGTCATCACCATTAGTACCATCGCCTATACTTAACACCCAATCTGAGAAGTTCTTCAGTTCCTCGCAATTAGAACTTGTTGAAGAAAGCCTCATATTTTTTGTTAATGTTAACACTTCACAATGCTGCCACAAATGTGAGGAATTTATGCTCGCCGACACAACTTGTTGTCTTGTTCCTTTTGGCACGACAGGCAATATTTGTCTAAAATCACCTCCAAAAACAACTGTTTTGCCACCAAATGGTTTGTTCTCATTTTCAGGATCAGACTGGCTTAGGATATCCTTCAAAGATTGATGTACGGCTTCAAAACAATGCTTGTGAATCATCGGAGCTTCATCCCAAATGATGAGTTTCGCTTTCGTTATCAACTCCGCCAAAGGGGAGTCACATGCAATGTTGCAAGTAGATTCTTCATGAACATTAAAAGGAATGGCAAACCTTGAGTGAGCTGTTCTTCCACCAGGAATGAGTAAAGATGCTATCCCACTCGATGCGACTGTGAGTACTATTTCACCTTTTGACCTTAAAGCTGCCGAAAGAGTTCTCCAAATATAGGTCTTGCCAGTACCTCCGTAACCATAAAGGAAGAATAAACCACCATGTCTTTCATTTACACGAACCATAATTTTATCATAGACAATCCTTTGTTCGTCATTGAGACTTGACAATAACTCTGAATGTTCGGCAGCTAATGCACTTCTGTCATAATTAAGTTCATCATAGATAAGTCTATTTTCAACTTGTGGGAGAAGAGACATGTTTGGGAACGGCATTGTTGGAAAATCAGCTAGACTCTTATTGCTACTTCGCATCTTTTTTTCAATTTCCATTAGGGCAAAATTTTTCAAATCATCTTCATGAAGCTGCAAATCTGAAATATAAAAAACAATTTAATAAATTAGCAACAATGCAGAAAATAATAAATGGCAGAGAAAAGAAATTTTGTAATAAGTCTACCAGATAGTTGAAAGTATATAAAAAACTACCTTCACGTTGCAGTATAGTTCTTTGCGTACGCAGGATATCGTCACTCAAAAAATGCCATGTTTTATCCCAAACATATTCAGGCCGTGCCATTTGATTCGACAATAGAAGAGTTGTGAACATATTTCGTAGGAATTTAGCAAACCCCCAATGGCTTGCTTCTTCAATACCATCTATGTACTCCTTATCATCATCTAACAAACCAATTGCATAGCAAGCATCTCTAAACGTAGGATAAACCACATTATTGATGGTTCTTAACTCAATATAAGAAGAAGGCCCCCTAATTATATTGAGTAAGATTCTCAAATAATATAATTCACCACTTCCGGGGGCTACGTAATGAATTCTTCCAACAGAGAATCCTTTCTTTCTGGGAGTCCATGCACGTAAAGGCTGTTTCCAGACGAATTTCGCGGGGAATTCTGCATAGGTAAGACCTTTTGCCTCGGTATATGTAGAATTTGCGTCCATCCATGCTAAAAATTTTGATTGCAATACATGTGGCCTCTCAATAACCGATTCAAGAGACTCGTCACCATCAAAAAATACAACTTGTTCATTGGGCAGGTGAATAGGCAAACGCTCGACTG